ACTGTTTGAGCATCCCTGTAAATACCTGGGGAGGTGCATTAATTCCTGAAAAGCATAAAAGTCTCTACCAGGGGTTTCCCTCAGGTGGACTTGGTGAACAGAGCTCACAGTATGAAGTAGGAGTGCTGAAGCCACAGAGGTTCAGTCTAAAGAGGTGGCATAGCCTGCTCTGAAGGAAGAGCAAGACCTGTACATGGTCTACCGCACTGAACAGGTTCCTCCTGGAGATTGCTCCAAAGCCGGGACACAGCAGCACTGCTGTGGATCTGTGACAGTTTGTTCTGTGCATTTTGACAGTATTTTCCATTGTCTGCTACATTGTTTTGTCTAGATAACTGGCTCTTACCCATGTGGATTCTGCACTCAGCAAAAGGGGAAAAATTTCAAAATAGGAAAACATAACTGCAAAACTAAAGAGTTCAGCAGGGGGACTCAGGGCAGGTGTAGCACCTGAAGCTACTTTGAACTGATTTTTAAAAACTGATTGACATTATGCGGACACTGTCATGGTTGAATGATTGGACCTTTGCTGTGGTGGGCTCTAGGGGGTGGAACTTGCTCCCTGCTGAAATTCCCCTATTTAAAATAATCATAATACTGTCAGAATAAAGAGTTGTTGCTTTAACTATCCCTGCTACATCTGTATTACTATTTTCCTCTTTCATCCATTTTCCTCTCTCAACTACAATTTGTTAAGCTTTTAGGGGCTTGTCTTAATAGTTTTAAAATCATTTTATTCAATAGAACCCCAAATTGGATAGCAGGATTTCCTTGGATTATGAACCTCAAACAGAAGGTGCAGTACTCTGCTCCCCCACAGCATCAGAAACGGTACCCAGTTTTAACATACACTAAATGACTTTAGTCAGGAAACAAATGTCTACTTATAGATGCCAACTAGTTGTCTGGTTAAGACTAGCGTCTTAGCCAGAGACCTTCTACTACACAGGAGCAAAGCCTCCCTAATGTATACAGCATCCCAGCACAAACATGGGAACTGGGCGCGCTTCAACAAGCGGCTATACGAGCTTTTAAACTTCTTTGACGCTACCTGGATGTATAGGTGCTGGAAGTAGGGGTGCTGCAGCACCCTCCAGCCTGAAGAGGTTTCCATCATGCACAGGGTTTACAAGTTTGGTTCAATGGCTCTCAGCACCTGCACTGTACAAGCTGTTCCAGGGCCGCTGGCTGTATCCCTGCCGGGTGGGCAGGGGCCGCCAGCAGGGGACGTGTAGGATTCAGCCGCCCGCAGGTGCGGCGTTGGCGCTCTGGGTAAGACTGATCGAACAGCAAGAAGCAACGGGAGCAGCCGCGCTCCTTAGCCAGCTCCGAAGCGAAGCCCGCAGGCTGGCTAGGTCCGGCCGCGGGTGTACCGGGGCTCTCGGCAGTCGGGGAAGCGGAATCCGACCGGGCGGAGTTTGGAGCAGTGCCCGAAGGAAGGGGCCGCTTGCCTCGGACCAGCCAGCGCGGCAACACGCCCCCCCCCCCCCCCGACAGCAGCGCCCTGTCCCTCCCCCAACGGGCACGGCTCCTCCGGCCAGCCCCGCGCACCCCGCTCCGGGGGAAGGTCACTGCGAACAGGGACCCTGCCGAGGAACGGCCCCCGCACCGCATTCCCCATCCCTTAGCCCAGCCGCAGCGGGGGGGGGGGCGCAGACAGAGCCAGGCCTGGGCCACTGCCGGTCCCCAGGGCCTCGCCGTCCTTGTGACCTTCCCGGCGGCCAAGGCGGCTGGGCCTGCCCCGGCCCCATCCGCATCCCCTCCCCCAGGCCCCGGCGGGGCAGAGGCGCGCGGCCACTCACCGAGGAGCGGGGGCCCCGCAGAAGGGTTCGGCCCGCGGCACAGCCGGCCCGACACACCGAGGAGGCCGCCATCTTATCCCCTCACCCCTACCGAGGCCGAACTGACCCCGAGCGGAGAGAAAAAGCCGCATGCGCAGGAAGACGAGCCCTAAAAGCACAGGAGCGCACGCGCAAGTAGGCAAATTGCCGGGCGATACGCATGCGCAGGGAGAGACGCTCGCATGGGCGGAGACTGGGACAGCTGTCTAAAGCAGAAAGGCGCATGCACAGAAATGGGTCTAGCGAGGCTGAGACCGTGTTGCGCCCTCTGTTGGTTGGAGGCCGATGCCGATGAGAAACTGTTCTCAGCCGGCGGGGCGGGTCCTTCCTTACACGGGCAAATAAGGGCGCAGGGAGGGATTGCACTGGGCACGCGGCCCAGCCCCTTCGGGGCACCGGAATGCTGCAGCCCATGAGCCCCTGCCCGGTTGGACGAGCCCCACCCTCCCAAGGGCGGGTGGATACCTACAGCCTGGGGCAGATAAGCCCTTGCCCTTGCTCATGCAGCGCCGTAGGAACTGGGCAGGGGCAAGGCTAGTCTCCTGCTAAGCCTTTGGCTCCCCTGGCCAGGCTTCCAGCAGGCCCCTGCCAGTGACAGGCCATAGGAGGGAAGCACCTGCTGCTTCTTGCTGGCCTTGCTCTGCATGGCCCAGTCTGCAGGCAGGAAACTCATCAACCTGGAGCCAGGGCCGGATTAACCTTTTGTGGGCCTCTGTGGGGGCAAAGGGGCATGGTGCGAGGGGGCAGGGGCATTGGTCCCAGAGCGAGGGGCTGTTGGATCATATTAAAGAAGTTCTGTATTAAAATCACAAATGAGTTTGATTCCCCATAGTTTAAATTCCAGGGTATTACTAATTAAGAGGTGTCTTGGTTTTTGGTACTGTTTCTCTCCCTCTATGTGTGAAACTTGCAAGCTGCTAATTGTGTTAGTACATTCTAAGACAGACTCTGTTCTCAAAGCAATTCACAGAGAGAGAGACTCAAAGCAATACTCTAACAACAGAAACAGCACCCAGAGACTCCCTGCCCTTTTGTTGTATTAACAATTGTGATTAAAATAGAGATAGAGGATGTATGTGGATGGATGCTTGGTGTGGATAATAACTGAATGATCAGGGAGGTGCCAGCCTAAGAATCCAGTGTCCATCGGCTGAAGAAGGCGTCAAGTGGAAATAACCAGAGGACCCCCGGAGGGTAGACTGGAATCCACCCAACAGCCTCAAGAATGGGAGAACCAAAGAACAAGATAACATCTAGCAGCACGGAGCCGTCAGGAACGTGCTATCTGCTGATGGATTCAGCAACAGCATGATGAAGCAATTCCCATAGACTGGCATAGGAAGAAATTCCTATAAAAATAGACTCTAAAAAGTGAGAACTTTGCGGTCTGATTCTGCAAACCAACTTCCAGGAGCATCAGATGAGCATCTGACAAGGCCCTGCTCCCTCCTCATGTCCAGGCCACCTGGCCAGTGGCTTGGCATGAGCAACTCTAAGGCTGGTAACTATGATAACAACCTTGCAGAACCTGTGTGTGTGTGTGTGTGTTTGTATGAATGAATGTGTGAATAAATATGAGATTGAATGGAATGTTATAACTATAACTAACTGCTTACTATGATTCTTTCTGTATTCACAATAAATGTGGTATTTTGCCTTTTTCCCTTTAATAAGATCCTGCTGGTTTTTATTTATTGGTATAACAGGGCCGCCCAGGAACGATGGGGTCCAGCCCAGGGTGGACGCGCTCTGCCCAGTTCAGCGCAAGGGCAATGTTTACAAACCAGCAGCTGCCAGATGCACACTGGCCTGCCTGGCCCTTTTCTGCACCACACACCCCTCCACCACCCAGTCCCCCCAACCCCTTATGCCCAGCACTTATGCAAAGCCCCCTGACTCCCAACAACTGCACAGCACCCCATAAAGACTCCCCACTGCCCCAACACACACAACCCCCCATTGCCCAGTGTCCCCTCCCCCAGATCTCCGGAGACCCACTCCCCTGCACCCTGCCCCCCAGCTGCATTCACTGGCCTCGCTGGGAGATGATTGTGTCCGCTGGGCTGAGCCGACAGTGCAGCTGGGGCAAATCAGGGATCACTGTGGCCTCTCAGGAGTGGCATGATCAGTCAGGGCGGAGTGGCAGCATGTCCGGCCTGGGCTGGGCTCTCTCAGGGCTCAGTCCTGAGCCCCCTGAACTCCCCACTCTTCCCCTACTGGCTGAGACCAGCTCAGCCTCTGCACCGGTCCCAGGTGGCTCAGCCCTGGGGAGATGGGAAGGGCCACACAGATGGCAGGCAGCAGAGACTGTTCGGAACTAGAGCCACACTGGGGAGTGGGGCAGACCCCTAGGATGCAATCCCCAAGAGCCCACCCAGCCTGACTGCGCCCACTGGCCCCGTGGCCAGTAGCCCTGCTCAGCCCGCATAGTGAAGCCTAGCTGCTGGGTGGCGAGCCCCCTACAGGTGAGCGGGACCCGCTGGCTGGGAGCCACTCACACAGCAAGGCCTGGGCCCTGGACTTCCCTGGGCGAGGTGCCAGACCCAGCCATGTGGATGGATTAGACAGGTCCATAATAGGCCCTTTCTCAGTGTGGGCTTGGCACTATTGTAAACCCGGTTCTGCTCAGAGCTCAGCTGCTCCCTCTCCCGCACCTCCTACCAGTCAGCACTGAGTCAGGCCCCAAGGCATTACCTCCATCAGTGTATCTCCTGCTGACAAAATACTCAGTCGTGTATAAAGCTGCAGTAGAATGAGGCAAGCTTTCCAAACAGTGTTGGAGCCAAGCAGGGTGGGAGTCAAGCCCCAGCAGTTTGGGTCAGGTTGAGCTGTTTTTTGAGCACATTAATTTTGTATTTAATCTGGTCACTCATACCCTGTTGCTCTCTGGGCTTCTTAGTGGCTGTTCCAAAGCCGGAGTGGCCGTGGCGCCAGCTAGCATTAGCCTTCTTAAAACAAAGTCAAGCAATTGCAAAAAGTATTCAGAGAGCCTGGCAGAATAAGGCCATGATTATAAATAAGGTAGGCCAAAAGGACCTAGTATTTAACAGTGGCTATAACGATGAAATCTGATGAAATGGTCAGCACTGACATGGATTTGAGGCTAGCCCTGACAAATGTCACATTAATAAATGACAAAAATAGCTGCTTTGTGTAACAACACAATTTATTGAGAAATATTCATAGGTGATTGGGCTTTAAGTCAGATCATGTTTTCAAATTAAGTCTTAGAAGTGGAACATGAATCAGGCTAGATACCAGTTAATTATCAGAACTAATTCCTGCTTTCTGTCCACTCCTTTACAGGTCTAATAGTCTATTCACTGACTAAACACATTTTTCAGGTCCTGTATTTACTAGATGCATTAAGCTGCAGAGTTCTTCAAAGGAAGTGGTGGGGCTTGGACACTTGAAAATATTCTGTAGGAACAATCCTGTCCTGGGCAGCTAATGGACTGGATAATCTAAAAGGTCTTTTCCTTTTCTGGCATCTATGATTTTCTAAAGCACTACAAAATGTACAGTATTGATAATAAATAGTAAGCAATACCTCTATGTCACTGAATGAACCCCTGTATTCACACCCTACACAACTGTAATATTCTTTGTACAAAATATGCCTCGTGAAGTATCATTTGAAAACTAATAACTTGATCAATAATGTCATGGTGAAGTGCATGTAGTAACATTATATGGAAAGTTATGAATATAAGCTGAAGTTATGACTGAAATGTGTTTATCAGACAAGTTTGAGGAGCAGGTAAACCAGTTTCTCAAAGGCAAAGGACAAACTGACACCTCTAGCCAGGGGCAGGGCCGGCTCCAGGCACCAGCTTTCCAAGCAGGTGCTTGGGGCGGCAATTAGAATGGGGCCGCAGTCCATGTCCCGCAGCTGCAATTCGGCAGCAGCTCCGCTGCTTTTCCTGGAGCAGCAGCTTTTGGGCAGCAATTCGGCAGCGACTGCCTGGGGCGGCAAAATTGCTAGACCCACCCCGGCCAGGGGTCATTAAAGTTGATTGGCAATCACTGGTCAAGTGGCCATTCTTTGGCAGTGAAGGGGGGCAGTAACAGACCAATTTACATTTTAACCAACACCACAGAACCTCTTTCACAGCTCCATCCTCATAGCTGGAAGGAATTTCATCTAGGGGTAACTCTCAGGAAAATGCATTTCAAAGGGCAACCAGCCTATAAAAGGGAGGGGGGGAAAACACCCCAGATACATTCACTCTCTCTCACTTGCTTTTTCAGCTGAGAAGATAAAGGAACCTTTGAACTCTGAGAAAGGCTCTACTTGAAAATTTAGTCAGCCCTGGTGCTGGGAACATTTGGTAAGAATTTACCTTAAACCAAGTCTAGTTTGTTTAAGTTTAGTTACTAGAAAGTGATTTATCTTTATTTCTGTTGTAACCATTTCTGACTTTAATACCTTTAACTTGTACTCACTGAAAATCTCCCTCTTTGTAACTAAATAAACTTGTTTTATTCTTTATTCTAATCTAATCCAGTATTGTGTTTAAACTGAACTGTTTGGTAACTCCAGTTAAAGTAGCAACTGTTGTACGTTTACCTCGTACAGGGACAACAGACAAATATCTGGACTGTCCAGTAAAGGGCTGTATGGGGCCGAGCACACATTCTTTGGGGAAAATCCAGGACTGGGAGTGGGTTGGAATCACCCTGCAAGTGGTAACCAATTCTGGTGGAAGCCAGGGTGTGGCTGGAGCGTGCTGGCAGGCTGTAGCTATACACAGACACTCAGGCTGTGACCTGCGTGCTGTTTGTGAGGGGCCCAGACTGGGAGTTTCAGCAAAGCATTGTGAGGCACCCAAGGTTGCAGGGCAGGTGATGACAGCCCCTTACTGGTCTGGATTGCACGCCAGAGAGTGATACTCTGATTTTACTGTTCTCTCTCTATCATAAAATCTGTGCATAGTCACAGCTTGCCCCATGTGGCAAGGTCGGATTTTGCTCTTGGTTATTTTACCCACAAAGTTGGAAATGGGATGCAGGGAGGGGACAAAATCTTAGCCTCCAGACTGCGGGCTGGTTCAGTATTGCTCTTTGCAGGAAGTTTTGCACTGTCAATAGAACTGTTGTCTATTTCTATTGAAAAGCATCATCTAATTAAACAGTCAAGTGGAAAACTCTCAAGTGCAGCTTCTCTCCAGTGATATTTCATAAGAATGGCCACACTGGGTCAGACCAAAGGTCCATCTAGCCCAGTATCCTGTCTTCTGCCAGTGGCCAATGCCACATACCTCAGAGGGAATGAACAGAACAGGTAATCATCAAGTGATCCATCCCGTCACTCATTCCCAGCTTCTGGCAAACAGAGACTAGGGACACCATCACTCAAAGGAAAGAGCCGCACACGCACACAGACACAATCAGAGATGGTTCCTGGGTCTGAGGGGATTCACAGGGTCAGAAAATCTTGTGTGTGAAGTGGATTCATAAGCCCGTGAGATCCCAGATCTCCTGTGTCTGGAGAAGATTCCCAGCAGAAGGAGATTTCATCTTTGAGATAGATTCCCAGTTTGTCCAGTAGCTAAGTGGGGTCCCAAGGGCAGATGATCTCAGGTCTCCAGTGCCCAAAGCAGATCCTTAGCAGTAGGAGATCTTGTGTCTGCTAGATTCCCAGTGGCAGGGAATCCCATGTCACCTGCCCTTGTAAAAATCAGCCAGCTCAAAGAGTCCTCTGGAAACATGCCTTGGTGGCTCCCTCTCACCTGTTCAGCTCCTGGGGACAGTAGATGCTATTTCTGGTGGCTACAGTTTAGTGCTGGAATAAGTCTAAAAAGTCAAATAATAATAAGAGATTGGTTTGGTTTCCCCAACTCCCTGGAATAACTCCACATTCCCGTGGCTTCCCCACCACCACCTGAAGGCTCTGCATTGTGATGAAAGTGGGGTGCAGCTCATTAACATTGTTCTGTTCATCAGCCAGCAGGAGGGGACCAAGACCAATGTGATGTGTTCCCAGCTCTGACTGGCCTGAAGAATGGGTCTCTCTCTCCCGCAGGAGCTGGGTTTTTTCTCTCGGCAGGTCTCCTAGTCCCTGCTGACTCAAGGGTTTCGGGACATGCACTTGATTTCCTTGCATGGCTGCATGTGCAGTAGCCCAGAAGGCCACCTGAATGGGGTAGTGTTAATGAAGGAGTCTGCTCAGAGGTCTGCATAACTGAGAAGCAATTAAGAAAAAGGACAGCAGATATAGTGGTGGTGGTGGAGAGAGAGCACATTGGCTAGGCAAGGATGGGTAGAGGAGGCACACACGCTGGCATGGCTGGTGGAGAGAAGCATGCCGGCCAGCAACTGGCAACAAATGCTGCTTTCACATCTGTAAACCTGGTGGACTACCAAGGAGACTGTTTTTCCCTAAGTGAAGCAGAAAGACTGTGCTTACTGTGACCGGCTGTGGCATGTTCTGTCCCTTCCCCCTGGTGACATAGGTAATAGCATCGTGCACGGAGGCAAAGAGGTGGTGCTTGGTGATGGTTTGGCTGAAGAAGTCGCCCTTTTCCAGCTGGTCAATGACAGAAGCTGAGGGGGAAAGAAGGTGGCACAATAACACCAGGACATCCTAGAGTGAGGACTGGCTGAGGTGCCGAGCCTTGACCCCCACCCTCCACACACAGAACCACCTCTCTTTTTCTTCGCTTTTTACTGTTTGCCTTGGGGATTCTTTGCTTTGGGAAGTGCTGGCAAAATTATCCAAGCTGGAATTCAGGGAAACAGGAATGCTCCCCTGGATGTGGTCTCTGTTCTGGGGTATAAACAGACTCTGGCATTGCACCTTGGGAATTATGCCTACATGTAAGGGCTTTGGCTGATCTCCTGAATGGGGCTTGGGAAAGATTTCCCCATGCACACACGCCGGCTCAAATTCAGCTATGGCAGAAGCTGATGTCAACACGAGTCACCTCAGAGGGATTTACAGCAGGTCTGAATTTGGTCCCTAACATGGGATCTGAACTATTAGTCACACTGGGTTTGAAACCAGTTCTGTGAGCAGTTTCCATCTGGGTAACATCTGAGGCTGGTATGATGTGGAGAGGAGAGGAGGCAAGGGAAGGTGAAACCAGAAGGAAGAAGGGGATTTCAGTGCAACAAGATACATCCTCCTGAAGGGAGGACTTGCTATCAAATGGAGGGTCTACAGTTTTGCTGCACCCGAGCTTACCATGGCAGCCAACAAGAAACACATCCACTTCTATCTCCCGGAAATCTCTGAATATCTGCAATGGACACAAGCACAAAGAGATGAGTCGAGCCCCTCCACAGACTCCTGTCCCTGGGGGCCATGCCCCATGCCCAGCAGCAGCAACACACGCAGAATTGGATGGGGTATGAGGTTACTAGCCAGCTGCCCCAAAGCAGCCCCAGATGTCCCCTTGGCCCCCTTTGTGCCCACTGCTCGTTGATACCACTGACCTGGAGCCAATCTCCTGTGGGCTAGCAGGCTGCCTGGGAAGACAAGTTAGGGATGTGAAACATACTCTACATCTTGTTGCCCAATTTACAGTTGACAGGCCTGGGCAAACAAGGTGACGCAGAAGATGTTAAAATGCCAATATGAGGGAGTGGGTGTGTATGTTGGAGAGAACAGCTCCTCTGTCACACACAGCAATGGCTCAGAGGTAGGGGTGGTGGGTGACGGGATTAGGGAGGGGATGGGGACAGGTTGGAGCCAGTGTCTGGTGAGATTTCACCTTAGCTGGTAGCAGAAGAACAGCGCTGAGGCACTCAAGTTCCCAGCACTGGGTGTCTGAATGCTCCCACTTTGCAGAGCTCTGTAGGAGAGTCCCCAGGGCAGTTGTGCCTGGGACATTTTCCCTGCCTTTCCCCTTACATTCTTTAGGATCTTTATGCAGACAGTATCCACAAAGTTGACGGGGGTGAAGTCCAGTATGAGGGAGTGGAGCTCAGGCTTTTTGAGACCTAAAGACTCCAGGGTGGGTTCATTGAAGGCTTTTTGGGTGCTGCTGGCTTGGAGCTCCAACTCTCTCTCGCTTCCATTGGAGTCAACCACTGCAGGGCCAGATCCATTGCAGTGACTCCCCAGCTCCTGTGGGGAAGAAAACAGTCCCGCCCCCCCCGCCCCGCATCAAATGAGATTATGGCATTCCTCAGGGAGCACCTCAGCCAATAGCAGACGAGCGTCAACTGACTGACTGCACCGTATCAGCGTAGGTGGCAGCAAGAAAGAGGTCTGGAAAATATCTATTTCCAATGTTGAGAAACAAGGCTTTGAAATGAGACATTAAACGGAGGCCTTGACCCCTACTGACACCAATCACCCCAGCACATGTCAGAGTGGAGTGGGAGGTGGCCCAAGCCCTAGATTAGTGACATATCTTATTCCCCAGGTGTCTGGGGAGGAGGAAGGGCCGAGGGCTGGGAGGGTTTTGTTGCTTGCTAATGGAGGGTTTGTGTTAATGGTAGAGAAGACCATTGTGGTTGAGATTTTACCATGACATTCAACTATGTCAGGCACTGTGGGTATGGGTTGAGTGAGGGCTTGGGTTTTTAAAGATCAACATAAATAAATACCTGCGTATTGGTCTCCATGTCAATATCTACAAAGCCAAAGTCATTGCTGCTGGGGTCAGATGCCTCTGAGAGCTTGAGGGTAGTTTTCTGTTACCAAAACCAGATGGGGACAGAGAACGTTAAAGAGGGGTTGGTGTAGCTGCATGGCCCACATCACCCCACAGGAGGCTTGTCAACCCCAGCAAGGAGGTTTGGAACAACGTAGGTTACAACATAAAAGCAGAACTTGGTTCAGTCCAGTGAGCCACCTAGTCCAGTCTCTGACCATGGGCAGGTCAACAGAAGGTACAAAGCTGCCAGAGTGGACATTTCTGGAATAACTTGCCCATGGGGGAGGTTTCTTCCCTAGCCCAGTGTGACAAAGTGGGACTGTTCTTAATGTTTCCTCTGAATAGCGTGGGGGTGCCTCAGTTTCCCCTGTGCAGTTCTTAAGTATCTAGGTGGTGGGGTAAGGGTGTATGATCATTGCAGAGCCCTAGAGGGCAGGTGTGTACAGGGGTCTGGACACAGAGAATGGCCGACACCCTGTTTCCTGGCAACTGATGGCCTGGGCCCTTCCCCCCTGCAAGGTGAGAGCTAAAGGGTTGGAGAACAAAGGAATCAGGTGACCTCCTGGCCCGGGAAAGGGACAAAGCCCAGAGGAGGAAGGGCTGGAGGGAGTTTCAGTTTGGGGCTGGCTGGGACCTGGAGTGAAGTGCAGACGTGGTTGTCTGGCTCACTGCCCCCCAAAATGGACCTAGCTGAGGGGTCCTGATCTCTGCACCTACAAGCTCTGTTTTAGACCATGTTCCTGTCGTCTAATAAACCTCTGTTTTACTGGCTGGCTGACAGTCACGTCTGACTGTGAAGTTGGGGTGCAGGACCCTCTGGCTTCCCCAGGAGCCCCGGCTGAGCAGACTCGCTGTGGGAAGCACACCGAGGGGCAGAGGATGCTGAATGCTCGGAGGTCAGACCCAGGAAGGTGGAAGCTGTGTGAGCTTTGTGTCCTGAAGACAGGCTGCTCACAGGAAGGCGACTGCCCCAGAGTCCTGACTGGCTTCATGGAGAGCAGTTTCAGAGCATCGCTCGGGGACTCCATGACACCCAGTATACAGTGGTTGGCTTTATCCATCCTAAGATTTCGTTTGCTGTTAGGACTGCCCTTGTGCAATGAGAGGAGGTTTTCGCTGAGCTGTCTGCAATGGCAGCTAGCTGCCTACACCCACCCCCCATTCTCTCCCCTACGAATATTACCATTAGTAAATATATTCTACACCAGGCCTAGAGTGGAAGCTTCTGGGGCACCCCACTGCTAACATTTGCAATATGGAAAATTGATCATTTATTCAGGAGAAGTGGTGGAGAGAGGACTGGACCTGGGTTCTATTCCTGGTTCTGCCACTTGCCTGCTGTGTGACCTGAGGCAAGTCACAGCTATGTGCCTCAGGTTCCCCACGTATAAAATGGGAGTAACGATCTGACCTCCTCTGTGAAGTGCTTTGAGATCTTCAGCCAGTTTTGATCAATGACAGAACTTTAGCTCACCCTATGACAGCTTAGGGTCCCTAATGGCCTCTTCTGAGAGAATTTGCCTTTTGAAAGTCCAAATAACTTTTGCCAACTGAGTCTCCTTTATTTGCTCTTTACTTGACACACTCAAAGGATTCTAATAAATTAGAGAGGCATGGTTTTCTCTACAGATGGTGTGCTGGTCTGTTCCCATCATATCATGTCCATGTAGGGGGTGTATAAGTCACTCTTTAATTATTTGTCCTGGCACTGAGTTAGGTTCATTAGTTTGGAATTCTCAAGATCACACCTTGCACTTGTTTCTAATAGCTGACCACTCACCAAATGTGAGTGAATCAGTGAATCACTGGCTCCTTAATTATTAACACCAGTAGCCTCCTCCCCAACCTTGGACACAACTCCAGTGTCAGGTGGTTCCCTAGGATTTCTCTTCCATGCCTGATGGCTCCAATCAGAGTACAGATGCTTGTCAGGCTCAGGAACATTCCCCAGGGGGCCAAGGCCTACCCTTGGGTTCCCCAGTAGGGAAAGATGAGCCATTTCCAGTGTGGGTCCATCTTTGATTCTGAAGAGTAGGGACAGCCAGTTATGTCTCGAGAGAGGGATTAGGGAAAGAGAGGGAGAAGTGGGGGCAGGGAGGAATGGAGACCTCGGAAGAGGGAGTGAGACGAGAGAAAGAGGAAGGAGGAGACCAAGAGAGATGTGTACGGAGAGAGGAGGATGAGGATATGGTTGAAGGGAAGGAGAAAGAGACAGACTGGAGGGAACCCCAGAAAGAAGCATTTGGCAGAGAACCTTTTTCTTCTTTGCCTCTTCCTTCTTGTCCTTCTCCTGCTGCTTCTTCTGTTTCTTGAGGGCTTTCTTCTTCTTCCCAATGAGGTAATCGACATTAATGCCACTCTGCAAAAGATACAGCTCCCTGGGATACGGAAGCCACTGACCTGCTGTCTCCCAACCCACTTCCCAGTGCAGGGAGTCCCTGCAGCTGTTCCTGCACAGAATGGAGCTCTCTCCCTCCACAGTCTTTTCTTGGCTTCTGGGAACAGGAGAGCTTGGAGCACTGATTAACTGCGGGAGCAGAGCCCAGGAGCAGGAGAGGAAGGGTTGGCTTGCAGTTTATGCAATGGACTGGGACTCAGGAGAGCGGGGTTCAATTCCTCCCTTGGGCCTGTGCCTCAGTTCCCCGCCTACCTCAGAAGGGTGCTGTGAGGAGAACATTGCTGGTGTGTGAGATGTTCCAACACTATGAGGACAGAGGCCATATTAGCCCCTCGCTAGATCCACTACATACTGGGGAAGGGAGAACCCGTGCACTGTAGCATGAGAGCAGAGAGAATCAGGACTGTGCAGCTGTGCTGCTCTCCCAGCTAGACTGGAGAATGGCACCCCAGGCCTGAGATGACCTCCTGGCCAAGGTACTGGAGACCAGGCTGTAGAGAGGTCAGGCCTTGCCCCAGAGTGTGCTACGTGAGCCCATCTCTGCCCCTGCCTCACCTTCTCCTTCAGGGCCTCTGCATACAGCTCAGCGTTGGCAAAATACACTGTGGCAGAAGACCGGAAAATCTTTACACCTGGAATTTCCTCAGTCTGGAAACAAAGGCATGGAGGAAGTTGTGGGAGGGACACTGCCTCAAAGAGGTGGGGGCTGTTCTGGGTCGTGGGGGCTGGAGGGGGATCAGTAATAGGGAGAGCTTGAGACATCACAGAAAAGCAAAGCCACGCCCCACAGTATCTCTGGGCTCCCCTCCTCCTCAGCTCCCTCCTGAGGGCTCCCCGTTCTCCTGCCGCTCCACCTCAGGTACTTGGAACTGCTTCCCTCACAGCAGCCCTTAGAGCAGTGATTCTCAACCAGGGATACGTATAGCACTGGGGGTATACAGAGGTCTTCCAAGGAGTATATCAACTCATCTAGATATTTGCCTCGTTTTACAACAGGCTACATAAAAAGCACTAGTGAAGTCAGTACTAACTAAAATTTCATACAATGACTTGTTTATATTGCTCTATATATTATACACTGAAAATGTAAGTACAATATTTATATTCCAATCACTTTATTTTATAATTATATGATAAAAATGAGAAAGTCAGCCATTTTTCAGTGACAGTGTGCTGTGACACTTTTGTATATTTATGTTCGATTTTGTAAGTAGTTTTTAAGGGAGGTAAAACTTGGGGCAGGCAAGACAAATCAGATTCCTGAAAGGGGTACAGTAGTCTGGAAAGGTTGAGAACCGCTGCTTTAGAGCCCCCAAAGTCCCTACAGGGTCCCACCACTAGCAGTGCCTGCAGCTTACACAGCTGAACTGGAAGGGGACCTGGCTTTCTAGGGGTTTGTAAAGTGCCAGGCACACTCCCAGTGCTCTGGAAAGGAGGAGCTCCCCCTCCTCAGCGGGAAGGGAAAGTGGCATCCAGTCCCTGAAGGCCAGTACTCACAGGGAATCCCCAGCTCCTTCTGGGAAGGACAATGCCTGACAAGGACTTTAACCCTTTTACTCCTGGATGTGCCCCATCTCAGCTCCCCTGGCTGCTCATGGCAGATTTGGCCCCAGTATCCTGATTTGCCTAATACATTCAGCAGCAGCAAAGGAGCTGGTCTGTCTTCCTTCATGGGTCCCCTCTGGCCACTCCCTCAACTATCTCACCACCTGCTTGTACCTTGTTATATTCCACCATGTCTCTGTAGATGTCTGTGTTGGAAACCTGCCCCAGGATGGAGTAGCGGGGCCTGAGGGGAGACAGAGAAAGAGAGCAGGGTTAGCAAAGGTACTGTCTATCCCTCGGGGAGTGATGCTGTGCCTTACACTCAAAGTATTGCCCCAGTGACCTGGTGGTGATATATAAGTGACAGAGCCATGCTGTGAGAGGGCAAAGTAGTGCTAAACCAGGCTAAAGCCTTGTGTGCGCCCATGAGCTGCAATTAGTTATTTGATTCATCCCTGGGTGGTGAAGGTGGGCAGGGGTACAGAATTAATAGCAACTTTTCAGCAAATGGGCTTCTCAGATTGTGCTGATGTCATCAGCGGTTCATATGTGCCTATTAGCAGCCTCCTGTGGTGTACACACGAGTATACAGACAGGGCTGGGTACTACTAGTCGCTCAGTAGCACTTACTGGAGCACAGAGGGAGGTGCATGGTATATGGGGACAGTGCTACTCACAGCTGGGTCCGAAAGATGACTGTGAGCAGGGCAAACGCCACAGAGACCCCCAGCCCCATGTCTAGGTTCAGCAGGAGGGTGGCCACGAAGGTCACGAGCCAGATGAGCTGTAGCAGACAAAGGCAGGATAAGTGCTGGGGAAGAGGAACAGGTTTGTGGTAGACACTGGCTATTTTGGTGTGACGTTCACTAGTGCACTGGCCATCACTGCCAATGCTGATGCTGCCATGCAGTCCCAGGGAGAGCTGTACTGTGGGAGGGACCTTCCTTCAGAGGAGATGTTAAAACAAGGCCCTGCCTGCCTGTCTCTAGTGGGAATCCAGGGTGGAAGTTAGAGATCCCAGGATGCCCTATGAAAAGGGGACGCCAGTGTCCTGGCTGACATCCCCGCCTTGTTAAAAGCGCTCTCTCTGATGTACCAAGAGGGATAAGCTCATGCTGAGTGCAGATTGGCTATTGCATTTGCCTGCAGAGTCTCTGTGCTGCTGGGATCCAGTTCCCTGCTCTGAATCCTGTGGGGATCTGGTTCCCTGCTCCGAAGCCCCCAGGGATGCAGCAAGGTGAAAGCAGAGATGGGCTTGAGCCATGGAGGTTAGATTTGGATCCAGATAGCTTGAGTTCTAGTTCAGGCCCATTGCAGAAAGAGGCCTGCACTGTGAGGTCCCGAATCTGGTCCCTGTGGTTTGGGGTTCAGAGTCAGAGTCCTGGTTCTGACAAATTTCTATGGCCCAAATTCTATACTCAGTTGGTTCAAGCCTGGCAAGTTTCCTGGGGGAACTGCCACCTCCCTTACTAAGGGGCTGCCAGGAGCCAGATCAGGGCAGCACTGAGGACTTGCCCTTTTTGTGCCCTCCAAAGGCAGAGCCCTATGGGGCTTGTGTTAGGGGAATTAGGCCCCATGGTCCAAGGCCCATGAAGGCCAGTTGTGTTCCTTACCAGATCTATGCGATTGGACCTCCATAGCATGCAGAGGTCTGTGAACTGCTTGAACATGCCCTTCAGGTTCACAATGACGATGGCAGCTAAGATGGCCTGGAAGAGAAATCCCCAAAGCTGTAAGCACCAGAGGGCACTGATGACTCCAGGGGCCTGCGTTTCCCACAAGCACCTGCCTGAACAGAAAAGGGTAGCCCTTCCCCACTATTACTCTGTCCCTCCACATGGGACCTGACCTGACCTGACGGGGGCAGAGCAAACACTGAGTGAGGAAGCTCAGGCTTTGACCCCCAGTTCAGTGATTCAGCTAAAGTGAGGGAGGGATGGAAAGGAAATGCTACCAAGGAAACAATGACCTGCCAGTGGAAGGTGAGACCTAGGGCATTCCCTTTTGCAGAGACCATTGAGTCAAACAACACAGCTGGATTTTTAAAGGCAGAAATGAAGCGATGGTAATTAACAACCCCCCCTGTAATTAAGGGAGCTGTGGTAATGCAAAGGGGACTCTAGCCTCATGCAGCAGAGTACTTGTCAAAACCATAAGGGTAGCCTAAAATTCCTCCTTACCTGTAAGGGGTTAAGAAGCTCAAATAACCTGGTTGACACCTGACCAAAGGAACCAATGGGGACAAAAGATACTTTCAAATCTGGGTTGGGGAGAGAGGGTTTGTTTTGGGTTCTTTGTTTCTGTGGCTGTTCTCTTGGGACTGAGAGAGGCCAGACACAAATCCATCTTCTCCAACCCATCCTAATCCACGTCTCCAATATTGCAACCAGTATAGGTAAGCCAGGCAAGGCGGATTAGTTTATCTTTTGTTTTGCTTGTGAATTTTCCCTGTGCTAAGAGGGAGGTTTATTCCTGTTTTCTGTACCTTGAATTTTCCCTGTGCTAAGAGGGAGGTTTATTCCTGTTTTCTGTAACTTTAAGGTTTTGCCCAGAGGGGAATCCTCTGTGTTTTGAATCTGAATACCCTGTAAAGTATTTTCCATCCTGATTTTACAGAGATGATTTTTACCTTTCTTTTTTTCTTTTTAATAAAATCTTTCTTTTAAGAACCTGACTGATTTTTCCATTGTTCCAAGACCCAGGGGTTTGGGTCTTTGATCATTGTGTAACCAATTGGTTAAGATATTATTCTCAAGCCTCCCTAGGATAGGGGGTGTAAAGGCTTGGGGGGATTGCTGGGGGAAGAGGAACTCCAAGTGGTCCTTTTCCCTGGTTCTTTGTTAAATCACTTGGTGGTGGCAGCATACCTCAGTCCAAGGACAAATAGAGATTTGTGCCTTGGGGAAGTTTTTAACCTAAGCTGGTAGAAATAAGCTTAGGGGGTCTTTCATGTGGGTCCCCACATCTGTACCCTAGAGTTCAGAGTGGGGAGGGAACTATGACAGTGCTAGCTGGACTCCTGCAGGAGTCAGGATGGGAGCATTTCTCTGTGTGTCACTGCATCACACAACTGGATAGAAGGGTTATGGATGGTTTATCTGTCATCCTGTGATGCCTCGAATGCCGGATAGTGCTAGAGGAGGGACACTGTAATAGATGCACCAATGATCTGATCCAGTGCGTCGGAGGAGGATACTAGAGAGGATGCATGGACCAATGATCTGATCCAGTGTGGCATGGGAGGATACTTCGGAGGATGGACCAACTACGGGAACTCACTTGTCCCTATATTTTTATAGGGCTTGTGACCCATTTTTGTCCTTCATGGGCTGATCTATAAGTGGTGCCAGTAGCTGTAATGGGCCTGGAGACTCAGGGTAACTGTACAGATGGACGAAGAGGCAGGAAGGCAGGCAGAGGCAGGCAGGGCTAGGACAATACGTACTTTGGGTAGGTCTTGGAAGAGCTGCCCAATCTTCAAAATGGTCACCAAGATGAGAAGTGAGGCGATAACCCCGGCCACCTGGAGACGAGAGAGGAGAGATCAGTGAGAGAAGGGACAGGTGTGCATGGACATTTCCAGCTCCCATGCAGAGACACCACCTGTATGTTGTGTCTGAGGTAATGGGCACCATGCTGGCCCCAGAGAGAGCATGCTGGGCGAAAAGGGGATGCGGGCAAGCTCAAGTAGGAAGGTGTCTGGCCGGTGATCCAGCATGTCCCCCTTAGGCCCTCTCTCATGTTCCCATCAGCTCTGCAAGTGCCAGAGCAAATGACAGGCAGCCCTTGCCCTGCGGATGGGAGTTATTTATGAGAATTGCCCCACTGCCCCCAGCTCTCTGCTCCCAGTGGAGCATCAAAAACAATTAACCCTTTAACTACTCATTTGGTCTGGCAGATGATCCAGCCCATGAATGGTGGGTAATTACCGCCCATCCACCGCCTACTGTCACCATAGGTTAACACCCTACCTGGTTTTCAACAACACCTTCCTGGGGTTTTCCCAGTCAGGCCAGAGATGATAGCGGAAGCTTCCTTGCCTCATGCTGGAATCCTCCAGGATTCCTCAGGGCTGAAATTAATGGGAATACCAGCCTTATGGGACTCACCTGACTGTTTCCTCCAGTGGCCTCCTGCACCAGGGTCCGGGACATGGAGCAGCTGATGCTGAAGCACTGGAAAAAGCCACCCACGAAATTACAAATCCCCAAGGCGAACAGCTCCTGCAAGGGGCAAAGCAGTGCGAGGGGTCAGGAACTGCATGGAGGCTTCAGCCCTTGCTGGGCAAAGCAGAGCAGGCCCCCTCCTGGTGTCATGAGAGACCCCGAAGAGAGGGATGGGCACTGCTCAGACTCAGATTCCTGGGGAGTGCAGGTGTCGATGACAAAAACAAAGAATAAAAAAAAAAAAAAAAGGGAAGAGAGGCTGGAGGGGAGAGCCCAGAGCGTAGTGGGGTCCTCACCTGGTTACTGTTCACCTTGTAGCCATGCTTCAGGGCAAAGATCTTGCCCATGGAGATGGAGATGGCATAGCCCACCACGGCGATGGCAAAGGCATTGCCCACCACCTGCCCAAAGTAGCTGACATTGGGAGCCATTGGTGGTTTCATCCTGCAGCCAAGAAAAGGAAACCTGGCTGGAAAACGGCATTCCCTCAGGGATGACAGCCTGCTCTCCCAGCACAGCCCCGCCGCGCCATCCCCATGTCACAGAGGCTGTAGCAGAAAAACGTAACATTCTCTGCCCATAATGAAGTGCCTGCTAAAGAGCCCAGGCTGCACCCTCACTCACCCACTGGGGATGTTGCCCACAACAGCAATCCCAAACTTGGCCTTCAGGCCAGCTCCATAGGAGATCCCCGTGGAGACAACGATCTGAAAAGAAGGCACGGTGTGAGGCAGAGTGTACCAGCCATGCAACCCCCATGAGCCTGATAGAGAACAGCAGATGCGTGCAGGGGTCTGTGCAGGGCCCTCCTTGGAGGGGATCAATGAAAGGGGCCAGCCTAGCTGAAAACCCCAGACTGGTGGGTAGAGCCCACAAGCAGCTAAGTGCATCCCCCCAACCAAGGGAAGAGCCCCAGGTCCAAGAATCAGACAAAAAAGAAATAAACCAGACCAGGAGCACTTTGAAATGAACCAGACCAGGTGAAGGGTTTCAGGAGGGGATGGGATGGGGACAGTGAGCAGAGAACCCCAGATAGCGCCCACGGCCCCATGGAGTAGGCAAGGGCAGCTGAGTCTCCATGATCCATTTCACCCAGAGACAAGCAGGGGCCACTCAGGTTGGTTGTGGGTTTGGGCCGGAGAGGGGCTGGCTGTCCAATAGGAACTGAACTCATTATGCACCGCCAACAGGCACTGCTAGCCTGGGCCAGATTTAACCCGGGGACCTACAGATGGAAGGCGATAGGGCTGCCCTTCTGGGCTATGAATGCAATTGTCACCCCTGGAGCCAGTGGATTTGCTGGCTGAGAGACCTGGCTCTGGGTGCTCCCAGCTGCGCCTCTCCTGGCAGCTGATGTAAGAGGAGCCCATCAGCAGCCCTGACCCTGGCACAGCCCCTGCTAGCGAAAACTGCTCTCCTTGGACCACTGGTTTTCAGACTTTTTGTATTGTGACCCCTTTCACACAGCAAGCCTCTGAGTGTGATCCCCCCCATACATTGAAAACAGAGGGGGGGGGGGATTCATTTAATTTAATGGAGGCTTGGGGCTGTCAGCCCCATAGAGCTGACAGCTCGCAATCCCCACGTCACCACCTTGCAACCTCAAGGGGTCATGACCTCCAGTTTGAGAACCCATGCTTTGGACAATCCCAGGGAAATCTCAGCCAGAGACAGCCCACTCCCTGGCCGGCCCCAGCACACACCCGCTGGGGGAAGCATTCTAGGAAAACCGGGGCTTGCATCTGGAACACCAGCAGTGAAACTAAGCCAAAACCTGGCCATCTTTGGGCCACGCTGCCTAACCTACCCAAGTGCCAAAACCTCCCGACCTCACCAGAGGAGACGAAACACTTGCATGAGGGAGAAAGGGGCAGCCACTAAACAACAACCAGTACAGGCACCCAGCAGAGAGCCGAGACCCTGTTCTGTGGGGTGACAGCCTGCCCTGTGCGGAGTCCCATGGGGCTGGGGTCTCTGAATGCCATGCAGTTCGTGACACGCCCCTCCTTACCATGATGAATTCTATTGGGATGGGCATGGGGAGCTTGGAGGCGAACTTGGCACTGAGCATCTTGACAGGGAGGATGGTGACCATGGTGATCAGGTTAGTGACCAGGGCGCCCACGTTGGTCTGTGGCAGCTTGGTGCAGATCTCAGTGAAGGCCTACAGGGAGAGGAGGAGGGGAAACCATGACACCGAATCCGTTCAGGAGACAGAGCCCCGGTGCAGAGGGGCCACCCACTGGCTACGTCCCGTGGAATCAGAGAGCATCAGTACGTGCCCACGTTCACATCTCGGCACTGGCTGTGCTATCCCCCGGGCAGGGGTCCTGTCATCCCCTGTGTACATTTGGCAGCTCGCACAGAGTGGGCCTGTAGTGGCTGGGGTCGCCAAGCACTAGTGCGATACAGTAAGTAATACAGACTGCATACCCATAGGGTGCTGCACTGGCCACATCCCAAGGAAAACCAGCCCGAGAAAGCCCAGTCACTGCCTGACCCCAGTGAACACCCAGAGAGCACTACTCGCCTGGGAGTTCTAGGGGAATCCCAGCTGCTGAAGAGACCCCCCATCCCATATAGCCCCAATGCAGACCCCATCAACCCTGGTCTGGCCCCAGCACAGGTCCCTATTAGCAAACACTGCTCCCCTTGGAAATCCCAGCCCAGTCTGACCCCAGCAAACCCCATTAGCAAACGTTGCTCCTCTGGGAAAGTGGCAGGACTGGATTCTTCCATGGTTAAGAGATTTATCAGAAAACGTTAGTGGCAGCATCCAAAATTCTGGGGGCGGCAGATCCCCTGCTGGTGTATGTGGTCATCGCTCCACTGAAGCCAATGGATCCCACTGAAGTCCATGCAGCTATGACCATTGACATCAGCTGAGGAACTGGTTATATAAAATATGAGGAGCTTGGTCCCTTTCCATGTGACTAAGATCTGCCACATGACACCTATTTACCAATCAGCTGCCAGCAGTTTGGGTTGGTTCACAGCTTTCATAGAATCATAGAGTTGGAAGGGACCTCAGGAGATCATTTTGTCCAACCCCCTGCTCAAAGCAGGACCAATCCTCAATTTTTGCCCCAGATCCGTAAATGGCCCCCTCAAGGATTGAACTCACAACCCTGGGTTTAGCAGGCAAATGCTCAAACCACTGAGCTATCCCTCCAGTAAATACAGAATTTTGTCCCTATCAGATGTTCCTTCATTTTATGGATGGAACAAGTGGACCATATCCTGAGCTCCTGATTCAGGCAAATTCCCATGAAAGTCAACAAGAGTAAAACTGAGGGAGGAGGGGACCAGTGTTTGGCCCTTAAGAATGTCTGCACTCATCAGTCTAATTTGTCACTGGGGATCCCCAGGGGTTCTCCAAACTGTGTGCAGCCCCAGAGAATGTTTTTGTGCACCCACACCTCTTGTCTGAAAGTGTTCTGTAACAGGAGATGTAGGATCAGCGCTGGAATAGTTAAATCCCCCCATCCCCACCTGCCACCTGCCCTAGCTGGGCTCTACTTACAGCGAACATGGAAAATGGCCCTGACTGCTCAGCCACCTCCACCCCAAAGACGTACTTCAGCTGGGAGACCAGCACGTGGACGGCAGCGGCTGTGGTGTAGCCCCGCACCAAGGGCTCGGACAGGTAGGTGACCACAAATCCGAACTGCAGCATCCCCAGGGCTATCTGGAAAGAGACCCAGCAATCGTCGGCAACCAACTTCCTCTCGTAGGGTTCTCACCCCGACGTCAGCCTCGTCTGGGAATGGTGGGGCATAACTAAACATAAGGGTCGCCTTGGGCAGAACTACAAGGCTTGGGGGACAAACTACAACTACAAGGCTGCCACCTCTTTCAGTTTTCCTGAGGAACAAATAGAACACTTGTATTTTTGCCCCAACAGCCCTGCTTGCCCTGCAAGCTCAGTGGGACAGAACTTGCAAGGGTCTGTGCTGGGAGGGCCAGCCCAGGGGGCACCCAAGCTGCACAACTGTGGTTTGTGCTCAGGGCAGTCTATGCAGCAGAGTACACAGGGAGGCTGAATGACATCTCTAGCACTTGACCAGGTGGCTGTTTGGGGTAGCAACCTTTGGAAAGGATGGGGGACAACACAGAAGTCTGGTGTGCTGGGCAGAACCTGGGACCCCTGGTTCCCAGGCTGGTGGGACTGAGAGTGGAGATCTCACTTCACACACCATGCTGATTGGCCTAGCCACAAGCGAAGCAGGAATCAGCCTCAGGGAGGGACAGTGTCCCCAATCCTGCTCTGGGAGGGGCTCACAAACATCACCAGGGGGCTGCAGTGAGCCCAGCCTCTGGACTGGTGCCAGGATGGACTCTTCAGGAATCAGCTGCGTGGCATCTCCCCGAGGACCAGCTCGAGGTCTCCAAGGGTAAGTATAGCTTGTGCCCTTCCAGTAGTGCCCAGCCACTGAGAGACGTGATGTGAGCAGCAGGGCTGGTCTTGGTGCTGGGGGGTGGAGGAGGAATGCCCCCTGCCCACGCTGTTCACCTGCCCTGGGGGGGAAATGGGAGCAGCTGAGGCCCAAAGGAGGAAAACAGAGCAGGGAGCATGAGCCCAGCAGCACAGAGAGGTCAGGCTTGGTCAGGGGGTTGGATGGCATGGCCCTCTCTGACTTGGATCTGTCAGTGTCCCAGGGTGTACTGACCACCTCCACCCCTTGAACACTGGCTCTGCCCATCCACCAGCCTTTGGAAACAACCCAGCCGGGATCCTGGCCCAGTCTCCTGCCTCCCCCGGAGCACCCTGCTCACCTGGAAGATACCCACCAGCACGGTGAGTGTAGCCACTAGTTCCACCCTGGCGCTGTCTCTCCTTGCCTCGTTGAGGACTGTCTCATTCGTGCCATTGACCGGATCCATGAAGTTGCTGTTGGGCATCAGCGAGCCTGTCACGCTGCCGATCATGATGGAGATGACAGCGAAGGGACCTGCGTGGAGGCACATGGTGAGGTCATGGGAGTCGTCAACTCAGGCCTGTGCCCTGGCAGATGATGCGTAGCCGAGACCTGCCCACCCTGCATCCTCTTGAGAGCGGGGTCACACCCAGGGTGTCTCTGCTTATCACCAGTGGAGGGGCTCCCTCGTGTAGCCAGCACAGCTACCCAGCTGCTCACTCATCTGGATCTGGCTCACGGCGTCACACTGAGCGCTCAGCTAGGGATGTGCAAGAATCGCCCACAGGGGGCGTGTGGCTGCTGGCACAGCGACTGCTGAACGCTTTTTGTGTGGGCAGAGAGAGGGCTGTGCGCAAACTCCTCCAGTCCTGGGGGGAGGATGCGAACCTGGCCAGTTCCCTGGCAGTGGTGAATGTGTGGGCCTGAGTCTGAGCTGTGAGCATAGGCCAGGGGGAGGTTCCTGCTTTTCATGCTCTACGCTCCTGGCTCTGGCCACTTTTGTTTCCTTGCCGATGCAGGAGTGCAAGGTTCCCACAGGCCCCTGCCCTGGGCACCCCCAGCTCACCCACAAGCCCCCCATCCTGGGCACCTCTAGTTCACCCACGGCTCACCCACAGCCCCCTGCTCCCCCTCACCCACAGACCCCCATCCTGGGGACCCTGGCTCACCCCAATCGCCCAACTGCCTGCTCACCCACTGAGATGTGCCTAGATGTCCCAAACAGGAAGTACAGGACGACAGGATATAAGGATGTATAGAGGCCGGTGACGGGAGGCACCCCTGCCAGGAGTGCATAGGCCAAACCTAGACACAGAAATGCAGGCAGGAGAGTTACTAGAGGCTCCCCCACATCCCCTACACCCCCACCCCAGCTCCTCACCCTCCCCCATCCCATGCACAGCTCACCCCAGCTCCCCACCCTCCCTGTCCCATGCACACCCCACCCCAGCTCCCTGCCCGCCCCATCCTGCCCCACCCCTTACATACCCTGCCTTCCCCCATGCCATCCCACCCTTCCCCCGTCCCATACACACCCCACCCCAGCTCCCTGCCCCTTTCCACACACACTAACACCAGACCCACCGCACTCTACACCCACCCCTGCGCCCGCCCATACATATGAACCCCTAAAGATATATTCCTCCCCCATGCCTACAGCATGTACCGCAGGGCTACAGCCTTTGGCCCACAGGCGAAAGGGATGAGAGACGCCTGGCTGCGCCCCAGAGCGATCACCCCCAGACGAATGTGTTTGCAGGCACTCCCATGGCAGAGGTGGGGGCTGTGGTACTTACCCTGGGGGAGGTGCATGATTCCCACACTGAACCCCGAGGCAATATCACCGAGGACCCAGTCTCTGACTGGGTACCGGGGCAGCCAGCTCAGGACCGGCAGGAACCGGAAGAGAAGGGACTTGGCAGCGCCACATGAGCACCTGGGGGAGGGTGGGAAAGCCACGACTGAGGAGAAAGCTCTAGGCTGCACTAGGGCCCTACAGAGTCAGGCAGGCTGGAGTAAGGGGCTCCGTGCCCCGGCGGAGTCCTCCCCTGCCTGAGCTGGGGTCTAGCCCCGCAGTAAATGCATTGAGAGCACTCTGATATCAACTAAAGTCCATCCTAAACACCCCCTGTGGGACTCCTGGACTCCCTCCCAATGCCTCCCTCTGAGGGGCCCCTTCAGTAGGGACTGGAGAACCAAACTGCAGCTTTAGAAACACCTTGCCAAGTCCGCGTGCAGTGGTGGCAAAGGCCCATGCAGAATACTGGCCCAGGGCCTCCCTGGCCTTCCTGTCCCTTCGGCCCTGGGGCTGGCCAGGGGCCCAGCATGTGCTGGGGGGATGCCTGGCGCACAGCACTCTCCACCTGGCTGGCACTCGGCTGTGTGTGGAGTCAAGGAATAACAGCTCCCGCGCACCAGAGGGCATGGGCCAAAGGGCAAGCATGGCATGAGTGCATCCCTTTACACCCCTTCTCCCTTCTCTGGCTCCAGCTTTGGGGCCTGGTGCTGGGCAGTCCCAAACACAGTGCTCTCTCCTGGGGACAAGAGCCATTTCGGCCCTGGGCCCCTGCATATGGATGGGGCAGGAGACAGTGGGAGACTGGCTAGGCGAAGGCAAAGCACCCTGCCAGGGTTGTAAAACCCCTATCAGCAACCCACAGGGCGGTAACACTGTCCCCCTTGTGCCACTTCCCCCTGTCCAGTGACTGGGAAGGGGTGTGAAGCGCCCCCTACCTTACGTCCCAGACCCTGCTGCAGAGAGAGGGCCGCGGAGCCTGGGTTCTCGGTGCCATCTCCTCGAGCTCAGCCTCGCTCAGAACCTCGCGGTCCGCCGGGGACACCCAGGGGCGGTGCCGCAGCTCGCTCTGCTCCATCGCCACAGCACCAACCCCAGCTGCGCTCCTGCGCGACCTTCAGGCTGAGACGAGAAGGGGAGATGGGCTGAGTGCTGGCAGTTCTACTGTCCCATGGGGGACGCCTGTCCCTGCCCATGCTCTGCTGCCACTGCTTGGAGGCCAGTTCGGCCCTGTGTGCGGGAGAGTCCCTCTGGCACAGCACCCAGGCCACTGGTGCCCCTCAGGGAGCTGTTTCCCCTCAAGCTGAGGAACTGTGCCAGTCTCCACCGCTCCATCGCCAGCTAAAGCCAGAGTCTAAAGCTGCTGAGGGATCCAGTGGGTTGGTGTGACCTGGCACACACCCACAGTTAGACTCTGACCCCAGGAGCCAAGGAGAGACCCAGCCTTTGGGAGCTCCCAGAAGCCATGGGGGGTCAGGAGAGAGCCAGGGTTCAGTGGGGGTGCAGGGAGCTCAGCAGTGCTGGGGGCAGCGCAGCATGGACCTGCTGTCTGGGGAGGACACCGGTAGGCAGACTCACTTTGGGGGCACTGGGGCAGGGCATTCAGGAGCAGAACTACTCCCTTGGAGCAGCCCTAGGCCACTAGCAGTGTAGATGGATCTAGGCCCTGCCTCTTCAGGCTGCTGGTGCTGTGACTCCCCTGCACCTTATGATTAGGGGGCACAAGGCACCAGGATTTGGCAGGGGGAGCTCCCTGCCTCTCTCCCACTCCTGTTCCTGCACCAGAATCTGGGCCCAAATCTCACCCCCTGGAACACTGCAGCCCAGGCGCCTCGTCACTGCAGGGCTCCAGGCTGGAGTCGGTGCCGAGCCCAGCCTGCTCCCTCAGTCTGATTCTGCAAGGAAGTTGCAGCCCGATGCTCATTACCTCACAGCTGGCTGCTTTGGAAATGATTCTGCTGTCCCAGGTCCTGGTGGCTGAGGAGGAGCAGCAGCTGGGCTGAGAGGAGTGCGAGGGGGTGGTCCTTGGGCAAATCCAGAGTGATTCTGGGCTGCATCCTGGCTACAGTGTGGGCCCTACACTCACTGCCCTCTTTGCAGTCCCTGGCATAGGGGCAGGCCCAGGGGCTGGAGGGTGCATGGTCAGTGTGCTATGTATTCCAGCTATTCTGGACTAGGGGATGGTCCCTTGGGGATCACTGCATCCCGAGTGCAAGTGCAAACACCCCAGTGGGTGGCTGCTCTGTCTAGCGTATGCCAGCAGTCACTGTTTGTCCTTAAGAGGCCAGGAACAGGCTCCCTGCAGCCAGTCCAGCTCCACAGGACAGTCCCGTGCTGAGCCTGCACCTTCAGACTTTGCACTTTTCACATGACGGGTTTTTGTTCTCAGCAAAAGTAACTGACTTTCTAGGCAAAACAGGCAGCCATTGGTGGGTTACCCATCCCCTCCCCTCAGACACACACGTACAGCTGTGTACCTATACCCTCCATCCCCTCCCCTCAGACACATACAGCTGTGTACCTATAGCCTCTACCCCCTATCCTCAGACACACATGTACAGCTGTGTTCCCATACCCTCCATCCCCATCCCCCAGACACACATGTATAGCTGTGTACCTATTCCCTCATCTGCCCCCCCATATACACACATGTACAGCTGTGTACCTACACCCTCTGCCACCACCAGCCATACATGTACAGCTGTTATACCTCCACACCTGCCTCTCAGACACATACATGTACAGCTGTGTATCCATACCCACTGTGCCCCTTCCCTCAGATGCATACAGATACAGCTGTGATCCCATACCCTCCACCCTTGGCCCTAAGTCTCACACATGCACAGCTGCATACTTATACCCACCCTCAACACATACATACAGCTGTGTACCTAAATCCACACCTCCCAGACACTCACATGTCCAGCTGTGTACCTATACCCTCCCCCCCCGCATGTTCAGATATACAAGTGGATGCACATATGCATGCACACACCCCTCTCCAGTCAGAATTAGCAAGGATTTTAGTTGCCAGGTGAGTTCAGTGCTGGTGAAAGGGGCCAGAGCGGCAACCCTGGAGTCTCCATTTCTGCAGGCAGAGCCTGGCTTCCCTGGAGGAGTCATGGGAGGGATAGGCACAGCCAGCCATTGGCATCTGTTGCCATTGTTAAGCCCTGGCTGCAGGGTGGTGGGAGGTGCAGCAGGCCCTGCTCCCAAGAGCGACTGTTTGTCTCTTGGCCCTGGGCTCAGTCCGCTGCTCCATTTCACACAGGCCAGACCTCGGGTAGGTGGGAGACGCCCAGTCAGAGGGCAGGGCTCAGGTACATAGTGCATAGTGGCAGGCCCCAGAGGAACGAGGCAGAGCCCATTTGGCTGTGGGAGTGGCAAGGCCTGGCCAATCTCCTCTCCTTGCTCTGAGCCCCTCATGAGACCCCCTGCCCACACACACAGCAGCAAACGAGCTCAGCCCTTCGCCCAAGGCCTGATCCCTGCTCAAGGTTTAGAGCTACAGCCACCAAGGAGAGCTTGGCCTGCGCAGCTCCCCAGGGGCCTCGCAGGGCTACAATAGCAGTGCGGCCATTCCTGCTCGGGCTGGTGCCTGGGCTCTGAAACCCAGCCAGCATGGGGAGGGGAGATGGAAGGGTTCTCGGAGCCTGAGTGGGAACAGCTATGCTATTTTTAGCACAATTGTGCGAGCCCAGGGTAACCACCCGTCCTTTATGTAAGGGGCATCCCTGCACAGCAAGCAGAGCGCAGGTTGGGGTTGGGGTTAGGGTCCACAGCTGCCTGTGGGGCACAGCGCAGCCCCAAATAGCTGGGCATGATGTACTGTGTCTGCCCGCAGGCAGCCCCCCAGCGTGCCCTCCGCTGCGGACCTGGAGGAGGGCAGTGTCACCAGCTGGGACGTTCCCCAGGGACCCTCTTCGTACAGCAGTCAGGCCCCTTGCTTTCACAACAGCATCCCAGTGAAGGCAGTTGCAGCAGGGCACGGTGGGGATACTTCCCTGCGGTGCCCTGGCTCCTCGCAGTGACAGGGCTGATCAAGGAAGTGGGCTATTTCCTTCCCAGCCAGCCTAGCTCAGGGAGAGCCTAACCCATCCGTCCCGTGGGGCCGGGCAGAGCCAGCTCTCCGTGCTCAGGGTCTGATGGCACGTCTACACTGCACACACACCCCCATCCTGGCGGCGAGACGCAGAGGCCAGGTCTATGGACTGGGACTCCTGGGGCTTGCGAAGGGTGAGCCCCTTTTGTGTATGTGTGTGTGTGGGGGGGGGATAGAAATAAAGGGAAACCACATGAGGGACAAGGGTTTATTTTATGGGCGGTTTTAGGGAAACACCATTTTCCTCAGCACATTGTGTATTTTTTCCTCAAGTGTACATTCCTACTGCCCTCCACTACACCGTACAAGTCTCACAAGCTTCAATTTAATGTTAAAACGGTGCAGGAGGTCCCTTAAAATAAAGGACGGGTGGTTACCCTAGGCTCGCACTACGGTGCTAAAAATAGCAGCGTAGCTGTCCCCACTCGGGCTCGGAGAGCCCTTCCCGGCCGGATTTCAGAGCCCAGGCACCACCCCAAGGGGGAATGGTAGCACGGCTACTTTAGGCTGGGGTCTCCTCCTAGGAGCCTTGCTCCAGTGGGCCGTGTGCCAAACATCACTACTGCCTGGTTGCTCTGGCAGAGGCCAGGGGCCAAACTGGGACACATCACAACAGCTGCATGACAACCCCCGGACAACCCCTCCGCACACAAATCCACCATCTGCACCTAGGGCTCTCGTACCCCATGGAGACGGGAGCATAGCCCCCATGACTGCTAACGGGGTGTCCCACCTCCCATGATTTGGGGCACAGCCCCAGGGACAGGTAATGGAGGTGCTCTGTGCACACTCAGCTCGGATACAGTGAAGCTGAGACCCGGAAGAGCTGCTCCTGGTGCTATGCTGAGATGGCTGGAGCAATTCTCCTGCTGGGTGAGGTGCCCCTCTGCCCTGTGGCTAGTTGCAGCTCTCCCCCTCACCGGAAGAAGACTCTCTCCCGCGATTGCTGGTGCTTACCTGATGTGGGGTGCGAGCTGCTGTGCCTGACAGCCCTCCAGTGAAGTGTACACTCTCCTTCCCACTATTAATACTTGACTGTGATCTTTGAGACACCACTCCCCCCACCACCCTCCTTTGCCTGCCAAGAGGGCACCATAGCCTCATGTGTCAATAGGTTTAAAGGGGCAAACACTGAAAGTGCAGTTGCCAGGCTGGGGGCCCCCAGGTGGGCAATCAGGCCTCAAGGAGACTAGCACAGAGGTCTGTGGGTCATCTACAGGGGGATGCCTCCCTGAAATCCCTTCCCTCACTGCACACCCTCCCATGCCTCTGTCATGGCCCCACAGCACAGCTGCCTCAGGAGAGCTGGGTGGAGAACCTTGAAGCCTACCAATGTGGCACCTCAATCAGCCACAGGGTGGCGCTGCCGTGCACAGCCCTTTGCTTCCATGATAGGGTAACCAGACGTCTGCATACTAGGGGCTTTGTCTTATCTGTGTGTAAGGGGGACTGTTGCCCCTTACTAACATTCAGTGGGGGTGTTTTAGTTGCTAGCTCCCAGTACTAAAAGGGGGAAGGGTCGATGGGGAATCAGGACCCTGAGACTGACAGTGCCTCTGAACAATGGGGAGAGGCCGATGCTCCAGGTCAGCCTGAATGACAGGGCGGGCAGGCGAATCAGGAGGCCAGGGAGGTCCCGTCTGCCGTGTGAGCTGGAACTGCCTGGGTCAGACAGAGTGGGGACAGCTAAGGAGAAAGCAGGGGCCTGAGCTGAGCTGGGGAGCAGAGCTGTGCCAGATCCAGAGGCACAGTCCAGAGAGAGCAGACTTGCCCTGGGAGCAGAGCTGCAGCAACCAGAGCCAGAGGGGCCAGAGAAGCAGCCCAGGGAGCTGGAGGCAGAGCAGCAGCTGGGGCTGAGGCAGTCCACAGCCAGGTGTCGTGAGCAGCTGGGGAGAGCCAAGGGGGACCCTGGGCAGCGGGCCCAGCACAGGGAGACACCTCAGCCAGGAGGCTCTGCAGGCCAGACTCAAAGGAGGATTGGTAACCCCGACAGGGCGGGGGCAACGCTGGAAAGAAGGGCCCTGCCACCTAGAGCCTGTGGCCACCACCAGAGCGAGTGTCCAACCCACAGCATCCCTGCAGTACAGCCAGGGCCTGAGAAGGCGGCCTGGGACACACAAGGAACAGACTGTGAACTGCCCGGACATTCCAGAGACGCTGTTTGTGATGTTCCCTGCCTCAGAGCGGGGTGATGTGTTTCCTTAACCTTTCCCATTTTCCCTTATTCTTTTCAAAATTAATTAATTGTTGATTAAATAACTTGCATTTGCTTCAAATTGTATGTAATGATCAGTAGGTCAGAGAAGTGCCCAGTGCAGAGAGAGTACCCCAGAGTGGGGACACCCTAGCCCCTGTCCTAGGTGACCACAGGAGGGTTGGGGGTTGAGCCCCCCAGGAATCCTGGGCCCAGCCTTGTTGGGGTTATGAGGACTCTGCCAGACAGGAGAGTGGAAGGGGAGTCCTCAAGGGCAGGGAGGCCACTGGGTAAAGGAAGTGGGAGCAAGGACTCAGATCCTTTCTCTAGCCCACTTCACCGGGGTAGTGCAGAAGCCAGGAAAGTTCCCCACAATAGTGGGACTATTCCCCCACTTACATATGTAACTGTATCCCCTCCCCCTGAAAAAAAGTGTTTTGATTTTTTCACACTTGCTACCCTACCCCAGGCTGGCTGGGCGAGACCTCAGGGTGAAATGTTCCTTCCGGCCTGTCCAACTCTTCAGTCCTTGCCAGTCGCTGACCCTGGGGATGGCCCTCTACCTCTTCCAGAGGCCCTGGCTGAGAACCCTTCCCCTGGGGTGTGAGGTGGGCACTATTCATCCACAGTGGGAGGACCAGAGGCTAGTAGCAGCTCCAGGAGCTGCCTGCAGAGGGCGCCCTTGGGGCAACTTGTATGTTTCCTACCCAGGTGCAAGTAGCCTCAGTCTAGGGCTGTTCCCCACTCAGAGCCATGGGAAACTTGCTCCCAGTGGGTGGGAGCCTTGGGCATTGTCAGACCATGCTGGGGCATGTGTTGGAGTCTAGAGTCTCTCACAAAGAGACCCCAGCAGCAGGCCTTCCCATCCCTCAGGCTGCCAGATCCCAAACCATACAGGGCTTTGTAGGTCACAGCCAACACCCGTAACCAGAGGGGGATGCTGCTCCACTCTGTACCAGCAACAGTTTGGCTTCAAACTGCCCCCCAACCTTGCAG